ATAATAATAATAATAATAATAATAATAATAATAATAATATACTTTATTGTCATTGTACATAGTACAACGAAATTAAGATGCGATCATTCGGTGATCTACAACCATACTCATATACACTCACACAACCATTCACAACCATCCCATAACTCCCTTAAGGTTCACATTGCAACTTAAACCATAGAGTTTGCCCAAAAACTAGAGTATCACTCTCCAATGCGATGATGTCACTTCCGGGTGATGTCATTGTGTCTGGGACATCGCCCAGTGATGTCATTGTTTGGAGGTGGAGCTTCCCCCGCCGGCCAGCTGAGCTGTGGTGGATCAGAGCCCCATAAAATGGGGAAACCTCGCTGGGAATTGGGGGATGGCAAACCTACACAATGAAATGGAAACAGCTATTCATATAGAGGGTGGGTAGTAAATTAGCATTCAGAATTATGAAGATGGTTTTAACAGATTAAAAGAATAACAAACTTAGTTATATGGAGCAGATTAAAAGAATAACAATAAAATAATAACTATATAATTAAGTGTGTTATTATTTTAATCTGTTAAAACTATCTTCATAATTCTGTATGCTAATTTACTGCCCACCCATATGTATGGCTGTTATTTCTATTTCCATTTCATTGCGTCTGAAGAAGTGTGTGTGCACACGAAAGCTAATACCATGAATAAAACTTTGTTGGTCTTAAAGGGAGGGGCTGTGGCTCAGTGGAAGAGCCTGAGCTTGGCATGCAGAAGGTTCCAGGTTCAATCCCCGACATCTCCACTTAAAAGGACCAGGCAATAGGTGATGGGAAAGACCTCTGCCTGAGACCCTGGAGAGCTGCCGCCAGTCTGAGCAGATGATACTGACTTTGATGGACCAAGGGTCTGATTCAGTAGAAGGCAGCTTCATGTGTATTCATGTGTATGTGTAAGGGTGCCACTGGACTCTAACTTCGTTTCATCCAAGTATTGTGAGAACAACCATGTACAAAAAGCCAGCTGCACAGTTAGTAAGGAATACAGTGAAACAACCTGCCAAACACCCACAAACAGATTGACAAGCTATTGAACTGATCATTAAAAAAAAAAATCAGGTTTCTTTGCATAATTAGCAAACAGGACGTGTGCCAAACCACCGGGTGCTTAAGTATCCCTAGGGAAAACTCCCACAAAAGTAACCTGGACCCTTTTAGAGGAAGGGTAGGATACAAATGAGGGAAATTCTCCCAGTATATATATTCTTAGTGATGCTGTCAGGGATTAAAACACAGTTGCATGGATTGTGTTCCATTTCTATCATCCTGATTGATGATGTCAAGCCCTAGATGTAATACCTCTCATGCTCTCTCAACTTACAAAACCCTAGCAGCTGCAGACTTGAAGTGTTTTGTAATGGTATGAAAAATATTATCAAATTACTCTTTATACTATGGCTTTGCTCCTACAGAACAAAAAAATAAATTTGCAGTAGAATTGAACTGTAACTCCATACCAGACAGATAAACAGAGCCTCACTTGCCATTGAAATAGCATATGTGTTCTTTACCTCGAGGAACCTTGATAGCTGCATGAATGCAGTAAATCCAGAGTTGCTCTAACACTTCTTTGGATCCTGCACAAAGGGCCATTAAAGGATCTATTTCTCTGCCCATTAAAGGATCTATTCTGATATGCCTGGTTGCCATGTCAGCTCTCTGTTTTGGTATAAGGAAATGTGCACTGAAGCACTCAGTCCTATGTACATTTGCACTAGGGTCATGTGATGTCATAATAATAAATAATTAGGTATTAGCTTATCAAAAATGCTAAAATATTTCTGAAAATAAATATTATGCATCAATAGCAGGGCTATGCAGTAGTCCCGCTCCTATTAGGCAGGCTCAAAAACTGGTACTAGTGGTCAGTGCTCTGTGGGAGTTTCCTGAGGGGTGCCAGATGGTTCTTTTCTGTCCTCTACACTTTTTAGCATCTAATGAAACTATAAGTAGAATTCATTAGGGGATATGGAACACAGTGCCATTACTATTAGTATGTTGATGACATTCAATTATGTCTCTTCTCCCGAAATCCCACAAGGCAGTGGAATCCCTGAATTGCTGAACGGAATATGTAACAACCTGGATGACAGCCAACAAACTGAAATGCAATCCAGATAACACAGGTTTTTTTGTTTACAAGATCAATATTACCTTCTCCTATATAAATTCCTAAATAATTTTTCAATAAAAAATGAAACAAAATTATAAAAACAATTTTAAAACCCCAACAAATCCAACAAACAACTATAATCCATTAAAATAGCATAGCAGGAAAACAACACTCTAATGCTTAGCTATTGAAAATCCAATAAGAAGAAATGTCTTTTTTTGCCTCTGGAAAGATGACAGAGAAGGTGCAAAATGGGTATTTGATTAGGGAGATATTCCAAACTTCCAGGGTTATTAGTGGAAGCAAACTCCGCCTCCATATATTTCTGTGGGAAATGCAGGAAAGATGATAAATGGGGGTGGGGGGATCTGGGAGAGCAAGGTTCAGAACCCCCCTCCTCCTGAACCAGGAACCTTTCGTCTGGATCACCCGGGGTTGGCCGCTCAGCCTGAACCACCTTACAGGGTTGTTGTTTTTGGTGGGGATCAGACAGTGGAGGGGGAAGACAGAAAGGGTGAGAGAAGAATTTTAGCCGTGCTTAGCAGCTGAGGCTGGGTGCATGGGAAGTGCTAAAAAACTACCTTATTTACTTGCAAGGAAGATGACCCATCTT